TATCCGCAAAAAAGAAGAACAGGAGTACTTGTGGCACCTTAGAGACTAACAAATTTATTAGAGCATAAGCTTTCGTGGACTACAGCCCACTTCTTCGGATGCATCTAATAAATTTGTTAGTCTCTAAGGTGCCACAAGTACTCCTGTTCTTTTTGATTTAATCATGGATTTCTATATAAAAGTGCATTCTTGTTGGTTGTTCTAACCTTAATATATATTCTTCACAACTCCGAGATAGAGGTAGGTTTCATTTTTAGAAATTACACACTATACATTTTCAGAGTGATTTATTTTGAAAACTTTTCAGATTAGTTTTACAGCTATATCAGAAAATGAATGATTGTTTGGTTATTTCATGTACCAAAGGTAATTGAAGCAGATATTTATGAAGTCATGGGGAGGTGAACGATCTCCAATTCAACAGGTTAATCATTAATATTTGGAGGATTTCCTTGCCATGCTGGATTAGGAGGAGAACATAAAACAATGTAAATGTCTCATTTAACTAAAACAACAATGTTATGTATTCTGGATTTTTTTCTTCAACAGCAAACATATAATATTTTAACAAAACAAGCATATGAATGTTTGAATTTAGTTAAAATAAATCACTTCTAAAAATGAAACCTACATCTATCTCTGAACTGTGAAGAATATGTATTAAGGTTAGAACAACCAACAAAAATGCACTTTTATGTAGAAATCCATGATTAAATCGAGTCTTCCTGCCTAGTAATTTAAATCAAATCCATCCTGGTACAGAGCATGCCCATTCTCAGTCTCCTCAACGTTCTCAGTGATGCGTGCCTATTGCATGCACCGAGCATGCATGCCCTGTTCCCAGCACAGAGCTAATGCATCCACAAACTCTTGCCTTCATCCAGATGGCGAAGGCAATAGCTAGGAAAATAGAACTATGATCTAAAAATCAATGTAGTAAAGTGAAAATCTGAGGTATGCCTGATGCTTTAATCCAAGGATAGCTAACATTCTGTAGAGCAGTCCAAATTATGTTTTTAATTATGGTTTGTGGGCCTGTATTACAAATTTGGGGGCAAACACTGCACTTGATCCAGGGTGGATATGCTCCTACCGATAGTGTGTGGTTTCCATAAAAATCAAATATAAAATATGGCCTTTCTGTAGTTAAACTATGTTAAAAGTTACTATTGCATTCAGCATTGCTCAGCAAGGAAGAAATCACGTAGGGCATTTAAGACCCAGCTCCTCGCATGGATGCTAAAAAATGAAGTGAGGTCCTTTATAACTCAGGTGCCCTGATTAGCCAGCCTGTCCTAATTGATTCTAGCAGTTTCTTCTTAATTGGCTCCAGGTGTCCTAATTAGCCTGCCTGCCTTAATTGGTTCCAGCAAGTTCCTGCTTGTTCTGGAATTGCCCCATTACCTTACCCAGGGAAAAGGGATCTACTTAATCTGGGACTAATAGATCTGCCTTCTAACACTCTCCTGTAGCCATCTGGCCTGACCCTGTCACAATATGCATGCATAATTGCAGGAAGTGCATGTACATATTTGGCATTTCTTAGAGATGTTTCAGGTTAAGACAAAGTTACATTGTTTTTCACATTCAGGTTATTTCAATCAGAAACATTTTAAAATGAAAACTTGGAATTCAATATAATCTGAATCAGCCCTGGGGGTATGGGCCAGCAGTTTTACACACCTGCTTTAATTAGCATGCAGGCCCTGGTTACAAACAAAAGTCTGGCTGAGTGCCTCCAAGCATAGTAAGTTGTGTTTAACATTGTACATGCTAAGGCTCAATATTCTGCCTGGCATAAAGGCATTCTGAAAAAACAACGAGAACCAGGGGAGTGCCAAAAGATGCTATGCCCAAGTATCAAGATGGAGCAGAAAGCTTTGTAGCCCATGGTTATTGAAACAATAGGCTAGTTTTAGCTTGAGACGTACTGCTGCTCTGCAGAATCTAGGTCATCTATTATTGTACCGGAGATTTCAGAAATGTGATTTTTTTGCGCTGGTTTATGAGAAACATCCTTTAGATTTTGGTCTTTCAGTCTATGAGTTTATTAGTCACCCCATGAAACAGATGAGCAGGAAAAGCCAAAATCTAAGAAAAAGTTGAAAGTTATGATTAAAAATTTGATTATTTTTCTTAATTATTTGCAGCTGCAAACTAACACCAACTGGCCCATTTTTGTGTTTCTACTCTGAATAGTACCATGTAAATGTTACTATATTAAGATTAGCCCAAGGTGGTGAAGTCACACAGATGTGAACAGCAAAATTGAATGAGCACACAACTTTAATAAACATCACTACCTTTTATGAATCACACCAAGCACTTAAACTTGATCTGAGCAAAAAGGAAGTTGATCAACCATGACAGTCATTTGAAAATGGCATGAGGCTATTAAAATTTTATTTTAAAAAACTAAGTGTGATTATGCTCTCACATCATGAGGTTCAACATTTGTTTTATTATCTTCCAGCCTAAATCTGCCCAATTTACAAGTAAAAATGACTCTTTGTAATTGGTAGTCCTAAGCATATTATCTGGAATCCAAAAATCCAACAGATCTTTCTGGCTCCTACCTCACCACCACGGTTGATATGCAAGACAGAAAATAATTAAATACCCTAAAACTTTGTTAACATGGAGCTACGGTTCCCTTGTAGCGTCTCACACTTCTCAGTGACTAAAGTGAAACCTCTGAAAACCATGAAATTCAAACTTAAGGTACATAGACCACTAACCTTACCCCAAACTCCCATGAGGTTTCAAGTTGATTCAAGTCAACATGTGAATTTGAGTACCTAGAATTGTCGTCTTTTTAACGGTAAGTGACCTAACTTTATAGTAGAGCACCTGCTCTGCTGTAATATAATTCATTCTCCCGCAGATGTATTGTCTCTGAAAATGCAGCTTTTACTATAGTAATTTGCCAAAGCAAGCAGATGAGATCTGCAATACATACAGGCAGCTGGTCTATGCCTTAAAATGTGCCATTTTTACTTATTTTTAAAAGAATC